GCTGGGAAAACTGGACAGCTACATGTAAAAGAATGAAATTAGAACACTCCCTAACACCATACACAAAAATAAACACAAAATGGATTAAAGACCGAAATGTAACGCCGGACACTATTAAACTCTTAGAGGAAAACACAGGCAGAACACTCTATGACATAAATCACAGCAAGATCCTTTATGACCCATCTCCTAGAGAAATGGAAATAAAAACAAAAATAAACAAATGGGACCTAATGAAACTTAAACGCTTTTGCACAGCAAAGGAAACCATAAACAAGATGAAAAGACAACCCTCAGAACGGGAGAAAATATTTGCAAACGAAGCAACTGACAAAGGATTAATCTCCAAAATATACAAGCAGCTCATGCAGCTCAATATCAAAAAAACAAACAACCCAATCCAAAAATGGGCAGAAGATCTAAACAGACATTTCTCCAAAGAAGATATACAGACTGCCAACAAACACATGAAAGAATGCTCAACAACACTAATCATTAGAGAAATGCAAATCAAAACTACAATGAGGTATCACCTCACACCAGTCAGAATGGCCATCATCAAAAAATCTACAAACAATAAATGCTGGAGAGGGTGTGGAGAAAAGGGAACCCTCTTGCACTGTTGGTGGGAATGAATATTGATACAGCCACTATGGAGAACAGTATGGAGGTCCCTTAAAAAAACTAAAAATAGAACTACCATATGACCCAGCAATCCCTACTGGGCGTATACCCTGAGAAAACCATAATTCAAAAAGAGTCATGTACCACAATGTCCATTGCAGCTCTATTTACAATAGCCAGGACATGGAAGCAACCTAAGTGTTCATCAACAGATGAATGGATAAAGAAGATGTGGCACATATATACAGTGCAATATTACTCAGCCATAAAAAGAAATGAACTTGAGTTATTTGTAGTGAGGTGGATGGACCTAGAGTCTGTCATACAGAGTGAAGTAAGTCAGAAAGAGAAAAACAAATACCATATGCTAACACATATATATGGAATCTTAAAAAAAATATATGGTTCTGAAGAACCTAGGGGCAGGACAGGAATAAAGACGCAGATGTAGGGAATGGACTTGAGGACCCAGGGAGTGGGAAGCGTAAGCTGGGACGAAGTGAGAGAGTGGCATGGACATATATATACTACCAAATGTAAAACAGATAGCTAGTGGGGAGCAGCGCACAGCACAGGGAGATCAGCTCGATGTTTTGTGTCCAACTAGAGGGGTGGGATAGGGAGGGGGGAGGGAGATGCAAGAGGGAGGAGATAGGGGGATATATATATGTGTATAGCTGATTCACTTTGTTATAAAGCAGAAACTAACACACCATTGTAAAGCAATTATACTCCAATAAAGATGTTAAAAAAAAAACCCACTGAATTATACACTTTAAATAGGTGAATTGTATGGCATATAAATTATGTCTCAATAAAGAAGTTATTTTAAAAAAATCAGAGCTATTCCCAAAATGGAAAATGATACCTCACTGGAAATAATGTCAAGCAAAGGCAAATGGCCTTCTATTGGAGATATTACTGTAAGAGATGGATTCAATTAGTGGTTCCCAATAGCAGTTCACAGACTAACACATAAAAATCACCCAGGGAACTTAATGACTCTGTGGCTCCCTAAAACATCTATCTAATTCAGTATGTCCAGTGAGGTTCAAAAATTTGTATTTTTAACAGGCTTCCTAAATTACTCTAGCATATAGCCAGAAGTGGGACCAACTATACCATTAAGATCCTAACAATAATTTTATGATTCCCTGATATCTATGAGATACCTATCTCTAGATCTGGTATCTATCTAGTACTTTCCATTCAGCTGAGAATCTCAAAGTCCATAATGAAATTCACCTTCCTGAAAGAAAAGTCTGTGTTTAGAAAAAAGTGGCTTCATCAGATCGATTAGGGCACCTCATATATTTTTATTAACCTTATGTGTATCCTTTAAGCTACTTCAAACCGTTTTTTGCAAAGATACAGGGCACCCTCCAGAGCTGTGTAGACCTCACCCAGCTAGTGCAGGGTGTATCCTGGTTGCTTATCTAGACTTGTCCAGCTGACTGGTCCATGAAGAAGCACAGGGTAGCCTGCCTGAGGCCTTAGATAAACTATAGCTAAAGAGAGGTGTTCCCCTAGATTTGTAATCTTTCTTTTAGATATAGTGCTTTATTTTTTTGGCTGTTCTTTTTCAGCTAATTTCTCAAAAACATTTATGATAACTTCACTCAAAACTAAACATCAGGGGACTTCCCTGGTGGGGCAGTGGTTAAGACTCCACGCTCCCAATGCAGGGGGCCCAGGTTCAATCCCCGGTCAGGGAACTAGATCCCACATGCATGCCGCAAAGAAGAGTTCGCATGCCACAGCTAGGGAGCCTGTGTGCCGCAACTAAGGGGTTGGTGAGCCACAACTAAGAAGCCCACGAGCCGCAATTGGGGAGCCCACCTGCCACAACTAAGACCCGGAGCAATCAAATAAATAAATAAATAAAATATACACCATTAAATAAATAAATAAATAATAAAAAGGTTACACTTCTAAAAAAAAAACTAAACATCAGAAGAGTGAAGTTATAATATGAACTCCAACACAACACTATGGTCGATTTCCCAGATGAATGGATAAAGAAGATGTGACACATATATACAATGGAATATTACTCTACCATAAAAAGAAACAAAATTGAGTTATTTGTAATGAGGTGGATGGACCTAGAGACTGTCATACAGAGTGAAGTAAGTCAGAAAGAGAAAAACAAATACCATATGCTAACACATATATATGGAATCTTAAAAAAAAAAAAAAAATGGTTCTGAAGAACCTAGGGGCAGGACAGGCATAAAGACGCAGACATAGAGAATGGACTTGAGGACACAGGGAGGGGGAAGGGTAAGCTGGGACGAAGTGAGAGAGTGGCATGGACATATACACACTACCAAATGTAAAATAGATAGCTAGTGGGAAGCAGCCCCATAGCACAGGGAGATCACCTCGGTGCTTTGTGTCCACCTAGAGGGGTGGGATAGGGAGGGTGGGAGGGAGACGCAAGAGGGAGGAGATATGGGGATATATGTATACATATAGCTGACTCACTTTGTCATACAGCAGAAACTAACACACCATTGTAAAGCAATTATACTCCAATAGAGATGTTAAAAAAATAAAATTAAATAAATCTAGGTCGATTTCCTGAATATTAAAACAGAAAAGTGGAATAAGATAAAACTTAAGGTCCTTTCTAACTTTTAAAGTCTATACTCTCACCAAAATAAATAGATAGATAGATAGACAGATAGATAGAAAGATAACATCTATACTCACAATCCTTGCCAGTATTGAAGATGTGCTTTGTAAATTTTACAGGCAATTCGTAAAAGAGAAATTGTAAACATATATTTCCTATCCTTTCCATCATAGTGTTCCCTCTTGCATCATCCTAGCTCAAAGCCCCTTCCCCCGCACAGATTTTTACAACAGTCCTCAATCTCTCTTAATCCATTGTACTGACCACACTGCTGTTAGATAATTCTCCAAGTATCATTTCCTTCAGTGGCTCTTAACCTAGCATTCAATGCATTCCACAATCTTATCCCAAGTTATCTTTCTAACCTTTTCTAGCCCTTCCTTATATTAACTTACCCTTCAGCAAACCTGTCAAGTACCTTCCTCTACAATATATTATACATATCATTTGCTTATGTCATTCCCCTTACTTGAAATACTCTCTGCCACACTCCCCACTCTTGTTCCATTCTTCAAGTATTATTATAAGTTTCACCTCCGCAACAAAGCCTTTTCTGACAAGCTCTTAGCCTGTAATATATCTTTGGCACTTAGCATACGCTACCTTCCACTGGGCGGATTTAATACAGGACAGATCTGTAGGGGCACGTCCGCCTTATTTTCTCCAGGTAAGGCCTTCAGCTTCAATATGGGGTGAATTTGTAACACAAAGCATCTAAAGGGACCATACTTAAACTACAATTTTTTTAAAAAATCAACTAAAGTAACAGTTTATGTGTAATTATTAGATATTTTGCAACAAACCCATCCTACTCTTGCCAACTGTATTTTTACAGCTGTGTTCCAAAATTTAAGATAATTCTTTAGGTTTGGGTTAGTACTTCCTGTTTAATACTTCCCTTTTAAAAAAGGGAGGGGGGACAAGATTTCAAAGCAAGTCCTCAAACTTTTAATTACAAAACTTTAATGAGACAAAAAAAAATTTCCAAAAAACATAGTTTTTGAACAATAATGGAACCTCTTATGGTATAGGCATCATAGCAAAATCAAACTTGAGAAGGGAAAGAGAGAGACATTTTGTCTGGTCAGACCTTTTAAACAAAATGGCACATGCTTTTCTCCACCAGCCATGAAAAAAACACTTTTTATACAAACCACATGTGATCTGACAAGTACTACCATCCTTTTCTCTGCTTTAAATCCAGAAACATTTTACTTCAACTACAAAGTTTCTGGTCTTGCTTAATAAAGAACACTTAATCTGGTCTTTACCCTTCTGATAATAATACTGAGAAAATGCAGATGTAAGTCCAAATTTGCCACTTTCACTTCTATACAAAAAAAGCCCTCCTGAAGAGCCAAGAAACACTCCCCTAACAAGCCCCGTGATGAAGTGTTAGTAAACATTAGAAAATCGATTGCAGGCATGAAATATTAAGTTAAAACAAAGAAAATGTTTTCAACATGTCTCCTTCAGCTGAAGTAAATATATTTTAACCAATATGCTAGAGGTTTTCATTAATTCAAAAGAGTCTGAAAATAAAACTGCAATGAAAAAAAATCTCTTATTTTAACTATTTTGGCACATAATGAGTTACACTTATTTCACAGGACAGAGAAAAAAGGGGTGGAAAAAAATCCATGTGTTCAGCAAATGTATCTGTTAAAGAATTGTCAAAAGCTAACTTTATTCTCCTTTCAGCAAACAGAGATCATCCAAACAGGCCTGCAGTACTCACATGCAGAGCAGAGGGGTCTGGCAGGAACTCAGCATCTTCTCCAAAGATGAAGTCGGGAGGCAGCTCTGGGTACTGGGCATTGAAAATGATATCCCCTGAAATAAAAGAAAATGTCAGGCTCTTCTTATTTCCTTGCAAATGTGTGAATGATCTGGGGAGTGCATCAGAAAAACTTCTAAAAGAAGTTTATATTCGTTTAACAAAAATACTGAAAAGCACTTTCAGAAACAAAAGAACTGATACCTTCTTTGAAATTAACATTCACAGCATGCAATCAGAAAATGTTACCTCCTAATACACTATAAATACCCATGTAGAAAAGTAGAAGCAACGACATCCAGAATACATGCAGATTTTGTTAATAGGAAACATTACTGTCCAATCACTGCCCGCTAATTAATAAGCCTTTATCAAGGACTGATTTTCTAAAGATAAAGTCCTTGCCTTGAAGAAATTAAACACACAAACCTTTGGTATAATGGAAAGAACATTTGGCTTGGAGTCCAAAAAGTCAGATTTAAAACCACAGGATCTCCTAATTATTTATTAGTTCAAGTCATCTTGGGCAAGTTTTAACTTCTTTGGAGTTCAGTTTCCTCATCAGTAAAAAGGGGATATAATAGTTCTGACATCACGGATTTGTTGTGAGGGTAAAAAGAGATAGCATGTCCAGCTAGGTGTCTGGCATACGGTAAGCACTCAACAAGTCATACAGGAGTACTACTATTGTTAGTAATAGTGTTATTACTACTGAAAGTATTATATTGAAGCATAAGATAAATTACAAAAGCTCCTTGACAAATCTGTACTATAAGTTCTTCTACCTCTCTGTTCCTCTCCTTTCTCCTTCTTTAGCTTCCTTTTCTTCCCCTCTGCTCACCCCAAGAGTCAGCCCTCACCATTCCACTAACAGCAACGAGCAGATTAGTATACCCACAATCTAACGCACACACTGGGTTGTGGTGTATAAGAGTGTGTACACTTGTATACATGCACACAACCTCTGTACCCATACACACACGCAGTGGTGGATCAGTCCAGTCATTTTTACTGCTCAAACAATAATATCTTCATAGTGACATCTAAATTCAAACATTCAGAATTCAGTTTTCATTTGAGCCTTTCTAACCCTGTGTACTGTGTATTTCAACTTCAAACTCAACAAGTCTAAAAACATGCTCATGACTATCCCTTTTCTCACTCCTTTCTTCCCCTAACTGACTTCCCCATTTCTAGGGATGGCACTGCTACTCCTTAATCACCCATGCTGAAACTTTAATGTCATCTTTGAACTGACCCACACCCTTTATACTCTTAGAAAACAAGTCATCTCAATTTTTTCCCCAAAATGTTTCTCATATGCATATTTCCTGCTGCTAACAGCTCAACCCAGGCCCAGATGACTTAGTCCATACAGTTATGCATCCAAAGAACAAAAATTTGAACTCTCCTCTAGGCACTATGCTGGGCATGAAAGATCAAACAAAAAACTCTGTTTTTAAGGACTCAACAGACTAGAAGAATTATTACCATACCCTCTTAAATGGTCTCCCAATACATCCAGCCCATACTACATACTATCATAAAGTAAATCTTAAAGTACTGCTTTGCCCCAAAACATCCTAGCTCAAAAACTTTCAATGGTTCTCTAGTGTCAAATGGAGTAACAGCAAACTTCTCAAACTGGCATTTAAGGCCTCCAAAATACAATGTTCCTTATTTATCCACCCTTCTATCTACAAGCCGATGCCAATATTCTATTCCAATCAACATGATCCACTCGCTAACCTCCAAACTATGACACCTAGTTGAAATGCTCTTTCCCCTTTCTCAGTTCTTACTCATCCTGTATGAGCCCTCTTAATTACCTTCTCTTGCATGAAGCCTTCCCTAATAAATCCAGTACACACTGATCATGGTTACTTCTGAAATTCAACAATACTGATTGGTTATGCCATTCAGTGAGTATTTAACTGTAGACTTATATTGGTTTTGTAGCTCCATTAATTTTAAAAATCCATAATAAACACATGGTACATGTGAGGCACTATGATACATACCATGTCAATACAAAGACGGAGCTTACATTTAGTGAGGGGGACAGAACATATACACTGCAGCACAAATACACAGCAGTACAAAGTAAGTACATATACTTGATCTTCCTAAATATCTTGTAAGCATTCAGAGAATAAATATGCTCTTATTCTTATTTCATGTCTTCTCCAACAGGGCAAAGTACAGTAGATACAGAATATATTCAAGAAATGCTCAATATATGAAAGAAGTTCTGTTCTCTGAATTGGTAAAGAATAGGGCTTCCCTGGTGGTGCAGTGGTTAAGAATCTGCTTGCCAATGCAGGGGACACGGGTTCAAGCCCTGGTCCAGGAAGATCCCACATGCTGCAGAGCAACTAAGCCCGTATGCCACAACTACTGAGCCTGCATTCTAGAGCCTGCGAGCCACAACTACTGAGCCTGTGTGCCACAACTACTGAAGCCCATGAGCCTACAGCCCATGCTCCATAACAAGAGAAGCCACCGCAATGAGAAGCCCGCGCACCGCAATGAAGAGTAGCCCCTGTTCACCACAAATAGAGAAAACCCGCGCGCAGCAACGAACACCCAACGCAGCCAAAAATAAATAAATTTATTTTTTAAAAAAAGAATAAAGTATGGAAGAGTTACTTCCACCACTTTCTGTAGGGAATAAATCTAAACAAGAAAATATACTCTTCAGAAGTTGGGTGTGGAATTAAATGATCAAAAGTAGTACAATCACTACCTCTCCTTCACCCTACCACAATCATTATCCCTGGTTTTTAACTATATCTTTTACAAATTATAAACCTCCTTCAAGTGTTCTAACTATAAAGCATTACCCCAAGCCAAGACTAAGAGGCAAAGGCAATATAAATGTACTGATTACTCATTCTTACTCAATTATACCCATAAGTTAATAGAACAGGGGCATTAAAGTTTTGGAAAAAGCCAAGCTAGAATCTATTGTGCCTTGATGTTCAAAAAATAAATAGCATGCTAAATTCCAATAGAAGAAATTTTATTACTTTTGTTACTACAGGAGGACACAAAGCTGGATTTTCAAGTTCTCAAAGGAGCACTGTCAGTAATACGTATTTCCAAACCACTAAACATTAGAAATCTGATCCAAGGATATGTACTCTTGCCAATTCTATTCAACATTGTACTGGAGGTTCTAGCCAGGGCAATTAGGCAAGAAAAAGAAATGAATGGCATCTAGATTGGAAAGAAAAACTAAACTTATCTCTATCCACAGATGACATGATCTTGCATATAGAAAACCCTAAAGAATTCACACACACACACACAGACACACACGCACAAAACTATAAGAACTAATAAACAAGTTTCACAAGGTTGCAAGATACAAGATAGATGTATAAAATCAACTGCTTTTTTATACACTACTAACAAACAATCCAAACATAAAGTTAAGAATATAATTCCATTTACAACATCAAAAAGAATGAAATACTTAGGAATAAACTTAACGAAAGAAGTGTTAAGACTTGTACTCTAAAAACTACAAAACATTGTTGAAAGACTTTAAAGAAAGCCTACATATATGGAAGATGAACAACTCATGCTCATGGATCAGGAGACTTAATATTGTTAAGATGGCAATACTACCTAAATTAATCTATAGATTTCATGCAATCCTGCTGGCTTTTTTTTTTTTTTCCAGAAATTGACAAACCACTCCTAAAAGTCATATGGAAATGCAAGGGATCCACCATGGCCAAAAAGTAATCCTGAAAAAGAGCAAAGTTGAAAGACTCACACTTCCCAATTTCGAAATTTATTACAAAGCCACAGTAATCAAGACAGTGTGGTAACGACATAAGGACAGACATACAGATCAATGGAACAGAATTCAGACTCTGGAAATAAACTTTCATATTTATAGTCAACTGATTTTTGCCAAGGGTGCCAAGGCAATTCAGTGGGGCAAAAAGAGTTTTACATCATTTGACACCCATAAGGATGACTATTAAAGAAAAAAGAGAGAGAGAATATAACAAGTGTTGGCGAGGTTGTGGAGAAACTGGAACCCCTGTGCACCACTGGTGGGTATGTAAAATGATGCAGCTGCTATGGAAAACAATATGGCAGTACCTCAAACATTTAAAAATACAATTACCATATGATCCAGCAATTCTACTCTGGGTATATGTTCAAAAGAAGTGAAATCAGTGTTAGTGTCTCAAAGAAATATTTTTATACTCAGGTTCACAGCAACATTATTCACGATAGACTAATGAAAACAACACAAGTGTCCATCGACAGGTGAATGGATAAACAAAATACAACGGAATATTAATCAGCTTTAAAAAAGGACATTCTGGGACTTCCCTGGCAGACCAGTGGTTAAGACTTCGCCTTCCAATGCAGGGGGTGCGGGTTAAATTCCTGGTCAGGGAGCTAAGATCCCACATGCCTTGCGGCCAAAAAACCAAAACATAAAACAGAAGCAATATTGTAACAAATTCAATAAAGACTTTAAAAATGGTCCACACACACACGCGCGTGCGCACACACACACAAACAAAGACATTTTGACACATGGTATAATATGGATGAACCTTGAGGACGTTATGGAAAGTGAAATAAGCCAGTCATAAAAAACACAAATACTGTACAAGTTCACTTATATGAGGTACCCAGAGTAGTCAAATTCATAGAGGCAGAAAGGAGAATGGTGGTTAGCAGGAGCTGGGAGAAGGGGAGAATGGGAAGTTGCTGTTTAAAGGGTATAGAGTTTCAGTTTTGTAAGATGAAAAGAGTTATGGAGATTGCACAACAACGTGAATGTACTTAACACTACTGAGATGTTTGTTATATATATTTTACACAATTTTTAAAAAAATTTTAAATAAAAGAGTCTGTTATAGACTGAATGTTTGTGCCCCTTTAAAATTCATATGTTGAAACCTAATCCCCAGTATGACAGTACTTGTAGGTGGGCCTTTGTGGGTGATTAAGTCATAAGGGCAGAGCCTTCATGAATGGGATTAGTGCCCTTATAAAAGAGACCCAAGAGAAGGCCCCTCCC